GATTTTAGCAAATGGCTGCAATATAACAAAGAGTGAAAAATGTAAGGGGGTCTGAATACTTTCCGTACCCACTGTATATGCATTTTCTGTGAGTAATCGGTTAAACTGATTTACATGACAAGCTGTCTGAATTTCATTTTACTTTTTGGTCATGCAAGTAACAATCTGCACCAAATTGCATATTTTTGCTCCGTTTAGTCCTCTGAAAAATGAAAAAAGCACCAGGCCCAGACTGTGTTACACCAGTCTGTCTGAAATCCTGTGCTGACCAGCTGGCCCCCATCTTCACACAGATCTTCAACAGATCACTGGAGCTGTGCGAAGTCCCTTCATGCTTCAAACGCTCCACCATCATCCCCATCCCAAAGAAACCCAAAATTACTGGACTTAATGACTACAGGCCTGTGGCTCTAACGTCTGTGGTCATGAAGTCTTTTGAAAAACTGGTGCTGGCCCACCTGAAGAAAACTGTCTATTGTAATATACCTGCACATACAACTGTCAATTTATATATTTTTATTCCTTATTTACTTGTTCTATTTTTTATTATCTGTGTTTTTTGTTCTGTCACTGTCATTCTGTTACACTGTGGAAGCTTCTGTCACAAAAACAAATTCCTCGTATGTGTAAACATACCTGGCAATAAAGCTTCTGATTCTGATTAAAACGATTTGTTTATGTTCCTCCATGAGTGTGAGCTTCTCACTAGATTATATGGGCCATATTTTATTTCCAATATTTTCTTTTAATTTTTTACTAAAGTTTCAATAAGCTATTTATAAAAAAAAAACTCCATTTAAAAATATGTCTGACTATTATTTAACATCTTTAAAGGGTTAAAGGCACAATATGTAATTTTCGCAGCTAGAGGGCGCATATTCAAAACAAACAAAGAGACAAAGGCTAGTTTGATGACTGAGTGTGGAACCATGGGAGTTGTTGTCTTCATCCCCGCAGCCGATGCAATCCGACGGGACTCCGGCAGAAATCATGTTCATGGATGAGCTAATGATTTATGTAGTAGAATGAAGCAGGGTGAGGCTGAAAGCCGTTTAGAGGCCGCTGAACGAGCATGACACACCACTGGAAAGCAGTGGAGCTTTTATTATGCCACAGTCGACCGCTTCTGCTCCTTCCGGTCGGGAGTATGGGGGGGGAGCAGCGCTGTTTTATCATACTAGATACATTTGAACGTTCTGTTATAATGCTACTCTGTGCGGTCGTCACCGGTCTAATAAAAAGCACAACAGATATTAAAGCATCTTTGGTGTTTCCATGTTTTCTACAAAACAAAACAAAACCGGAAATCGAGGTGTTATGACGTCATTGGCAGGCGACACAATGACACTATGGACACGGTCCGTGTCACTAGTTGCAATTGCTTATGTCTCTGGATTTAAACATTCTTCGAAACATTTGGGATAATGTAAGTACACAAGTCAGCAAAATATATAACACTGTTCTAGTGGTTTTTGGATATTAAAATAAAAAAATCTTACATATTGTGCCTTTAAATCTTATTTTGTGTTCCACAGAACAAAGTCATACAACGTTGAAACGACATGGGGTGAATATTGACAGATTTTAAATTTTTTGGTTGATCTTATGTAAATATTCCTAAACTTCAGTAGTATCGAGGAGTGAATAAACCGGTTAGACTGCTAGACTAGTTCAAATGTAAATATAGGCTACTTCCTTACTTTCGTGCATCTTCCTTGTAATTTTCATGGGTCCAGTTATTTGCATACAGACGGAAAACAATTTGAGCTCTACCTTTGAAGCAGAAATCACATAATTCTTACATCAGTAGTCTTCTAAAAGGTGCTGGTCCAATATACATTTTTCTAGTAAAGAGACGAATCAGTTAAGCAAAATTATTTGCAATTTTTTTTAATGCAAACAAGAAAGCAAAGAAAAACGCCTTCTCCGAAGTAAACATGGTCAGAGATATAGTGTTTTAACTTGAGTGCGGTCATTGGATTGTTGTCCATAATTCCACTCGTCAGCTCCATATGTAAAGCAAAAGTACCAGGAACAAAAACCATCTGTAAAGGTGTCGATTTTCTTGGAATTCGATGTAATAGAGCGACCGCACAGAGCCAAAGCGACGAAAAAGCTGTTGACGAAACACACCCAGATGGCGTTCAGCTGCAGGTGCGCGTGCATCTCTATCTGCAGCAGCGGCGAGATGATCATCAGAACGAGAAACGAGGCCCACGTGCTGAGGAACGTATGCATGGCCCGCCTTAAACAAACCAAGCAGCTTTGTTGAGTGGAATGCAGAAACACCTGCACCCTCCATTTCTCAAACGGAGCATACGAGTAAAGAATGACGCAGGTGACCATCAGTAACAATGCTACGAGAACCTGAGAGCTCTGAGATCTACTAAACAGCTCGCACTGGTGCTTCTCAACATATTCTAACAACAGAACAAAATCAGGCTCCCAGAAAACGTACAAAGTTGCTAGAATCCAAAGGAGACACACTCCAGCTATGTAAGTAAGCTTTTGTTTCCAGGATGTGTGTGTTGAGCTTGATGATAGCGTCCAGAAGTTGTCTAGTCCTACAAGGAGGAACACTGGCCAGTGGAGCATGGCGTAGATAAAACAAGCAATCTGAGCCAGCAGGCATACGTGATACCTGGTGAAGTGCCAGCCTGAGATGTTGAAGTCTTCCAGATAGAAAATAGCCACGAGGCCAAAACTCAAGAGACTGTCAATCAGTGCCAAGGAAATGCAGAAGAATCCTGAGAAGCTCCTGATCATGTAGTGTCGCTGCACCACGACCACCAGCCAGTTCAGCAAACTCTTGAGCCACAGAACCAGCAGAAGCGAGGGGATTGATGTTTCCATGGTACAGCATAATCCAAGGCTGAAATCAGAACAATCAACAGACCAGTCTTTCTTGTAACTGGCCAGCAGTTCCTCATTGAAACAGTTCACATCAGCTGTCAGTAGACACACCCTACCGAGGTGAAGGCCAGCCCTGCACATTAAACGAATAGCCCACTTTCAGTCAGAGTTTTTTATTATTTGTTAAGCATGTATGGGCATTATGTAATTGTTTCCATGTATTTAAATGTAGATGTGGTTTCTCTTTTTGTCAAGCTCATCTGTACTAATGCTGATTCAACAACACTACTCATTCAGCAACTTACATATTAAAATATTAAAACTGTATATATAGATATAAAAGCTGAAAATAAACACTAGCATAACTAGAGTTACCGGCATACCAGCAGTGCAGTATACTTGCCAGTACTTGCCTTTTCATTCAACAGTTCCTGCTAATAAAAACATGTATTAAGTGTAGTGACATGACATAAACAAATTGTATGTATTTATTTGAAGGTCACATTAAAATATTTTGGAAAACCATGTTTAAATGACCATGTCTGTCATTTAATTTAGCTACTTTTAAAACTTTTATTGTTTATTTTATTGCTACTTTTATTGTTTTACTTTTGCTCCAAAGCCAGAATTTCAATCTTTAACTTTTGTTTTTTTTTTTTTTTTTTTACATTTATGACTGATGATCTAAGCAAAGAGTGAAATAAATATGAACAATTTCAATATTTATTATGTGAAAATGGCTTCTATCCATGTTCAGAAATGTACAACAATTACAGTTCTTGCACAATATTTCCAAAAATAAATAAAGCTACTCTAATGTAGGCATTAATTTTATGCCAAAACGCTTAAAATGTTTACGATTTTCAAGAAAAGCATGCCAAAAATGATCTTGTAATGCATATGCATCCACTGTTGGACATTTGTTAGCAAACAAACTAGAATTAAAAAAATTGTGTTTAAGGGTTTATTAAGTCCACATTGTCTCTTTGTAACATCCAGCTAAGGTTAAAAGAGTACAGGTTTGTGCAGAAAGGAACTTGACCTTAAAAGGGTGTGTTTACGGCTAAAGCTATGGATAAATAATTGGCTATAAAGAAAATTAAACTGGGTGTTGCTAAAACAGTGTTTTCCATGTTCAGAAGAGACAGGGACATGTCTGCACAAGCAGGCACATTAAGTTGGCTCCACCCTTCTTTGAGAAAGATGTGGACAAGTATTTTCTAATGGTAGATTGCTTAAAAAGCAGCAGACTACAAAGACATTGGACATAATTACAGGGTGCACAAGTCTGGTTATGTTCCCTTCCTTATTAAAGGCTCTGTCTCCATCCCTGGCCAAAAAAACGGATGTGCAGGTTCACATTTTAATCTTTCATCATGCAGGGTGTTGTATGGTTGTCCATTGAATCTTAGACAGGTATGAGAAGATCAGAGATTTGACAAGGTCTTTTTAAAAATTATTTTCACTATTTGACCTGCCTGAGGTGGTAATAAAGCTTTCAACTTTCAGAACTCAAAACAGCTTTTAAAAATGAATGCTTGCGCGGCTTAGTTCCATTTCTTGGATTTAAGCAGCAAAAACATTTAAACACGTGATGGTGAATGTGATTTTACCAAGTAGAGCATCCAATCAAATGATCAGATTTGAGTGACAAGTTTACAGTTAATTTTAAGTTTTGGCTTACAACCAAGGTTTATTTTCCTCTTTATAGGTACAGTTATGGTTAGGGTTAAGTTTAGGGGTCAGAATATGTTTTTGGACATGAATGATGTTCCAAGATCAACAAAAGATGTTGATCCAGGATTATGCTGGTTAGCATAGCCCAACTAGCCCTTGCTGGTACTCTAACTAAACCATAAACACCCAAAACTCATCCTTTTTCCATCATGCAAGAGTAGCTGTGACTTATTTGCAAACAAAGAACAAATTACATGTTTTACTTTTTATAAACATCTATTTAAATAAAGCAGAGCGATAGTTTCTTTCAGAAGAACAACGTTTGTAATGTAAGATGTGTAGGCAGACATGAGTAAAAAATGATATATAAAATGATTATAATAACAGCAGCTGTTTATGCATTGTTTGCAAAAGCGGAGTGTTGCTGGAAGACAGATGTCACATAAAAGTGAAATGACTGAAGTGCAGAGCTGCTATTGATATTGAACTCTGATGAAAGAATAAATCATAACAAGGGCCAAACCACACCTGTTTATTCATTTCTTATTCATACTGGAAAAGTATTATCTATTTTTTATGTAATTGTCCCAGTTACACACTTGCGTAAATTCATCATGTGACAGAAAATTTAAATAAGACAAACGAATTTCTATTGTAATGTCTGTTTACTTAAGAAAGCTTGTAGTGTAGGCTACGTTAGTTCACAATAGGCCTATGTGAATCGCGGCCATAGTTATCAGTTGTGTACTTTAAATATTATCAACTGATTTTAATATTTATTCGTGATTGATTCCTTGATTATTGTTATTATTATTATTCAGTTCAGGATGTTCATAAACGGGATTTTCAGCATGTGGAAGAGAGACTTTTATCATGACTTCGAAGAGATCATGTTAATAATAAATAATTTTATATATAAAGAGAGACCTGGATAAATGTATTAAAACCACATAAAAGGCAAAGAAAAAAAAAGTAAGGAAAATTTTACGAAGGCATACTGCGCAGCAGCACTAGTGTCACGAGCGCCCTCGTGATGTCATTGCGGACATCCCATAATACTATTGAGCATAAGCCGTAGGCCTGGAGATAGTGTTGCTGTCAAGGTAACGCGTTCAAGTGTATTACATTGACCTCTTCAGTTGTGAAAGACTGTGAAGTCCAAAAGGGAAGTTGCGCGGGTTTTCCTGTGATTTGGTAAGCGCTGGTGTAATGTGTTTAGCTAAGTAAGCTCTGTGTGGCTAATTTAACGGAAGTTTTTGGTCGGTGAAAATGTTCCCGCTGATGTCTGAGTAATGTGTCGTGCCGCTTAATGTGTTCAAGATTGCTGCTGCTTGTCACTCCAAAATCCTTGTTAGTCGCGTGATAGTTTGCATTTGTAGTAGTATAAATAAGTTTCAGACTAGCTGCCTTTGCTCATTGTGCAGCACGTCCTGTGGTTTACTGGTTGTTCCAGTTTAAGTAGATCATTACGAAAAACTGTAAATAAATACATAGGCGTTTGGCAAATAACATGTACAAGGAATTGTTTTTATTACCATCAAGGTTTTAGTTTACGGTTTAAATTTAAGTTCGTGTCTATATGGTATTTATTTTTTATTTTTACCCTTTTTAATAATTTTAAATCACCTTGTTTGTGTTGAAATGTTTTGCAATATGGCAAATATTTAATGTAGCGTTTAGAATCTCACAATTCTGTTAAAATAGTTGTTCAGTGGAGTTTTGTATGTCTCAATACAGAACATGTTAACTTCCCTGAAGTATTTCATGTCAGCTATTATTTGAGATGCACCGATTGCAATTTTCTTGCCCGATTCCGATTTCCGATTTTTTGGAAGTGTGACCTGCCGATTCCGATTTTCTTTTTAAGAACTATAATTGAAAGCATATACAAACAAATATCTATGCATACAATTATTTACATAAAAAAATGAATTATTAAACATTACAATTCCCCCAATCTGGACTAAGTTACAGATTTTCTCTCACTTAAAGGAGAGAAACTTAACTCATACCTTTTGTTCTTTTAATATTTTGAATTGTTTTCAGCTTTATTTTTTTTGTTTTCATTTAAATGTTTAGTTTTGAAATGTTGTTGTATGCATTTGTCATTTTTATTTAATTTATTTTATTTTCTTAAATGTGTGTGTGTGTGTGTGTGTGTGT